TCCACATACAGTATCATATCATCTGCAAAGAGTGAGAGTTTGACTTCCTCTTTGCCGATTTGGATGCCTTTGATTTCTTTTTGTTGTCTGCTGTGGCTAGGACTTCTAATACTATGTTGAATAGCAGTGGTGATAGTGGACATCCCTCAAGTTATTTTAAGTAGAGATCCATCTAGAATATCTAAAATCAGGAAGAAGAAGGGAGAACTTGGAATTTATGTAAAAAGCTTGCTATCACTTAATAATTAAAAGACTCAAGATGGCAGTCACTGTGATGTCCCAGCAATAAAACAAAATCTTCTGAATATATTTAATCTCCAGTGTTAGAGGCCAACTTTACTACCCTCTGGGTTTTATTCTCTCATCTGCCTAATGAGTCAGGGGATCAAGGATAGGCTGAACTGGGAAACCTCTAAGGTACATCCCAGTTCTAAAATTGGCACCATTTAGAAGATACGAACTTAGTGGAATTCTTGTGACTGTTGAATGTCTCTTAGACTTGTCTTATTGGGAGAGGTGCTGTCGACTTTTACATGTAGGTTCAAAGAAAAGTAAGATACATGGCGATAAGTTGTTTCTGCTTTGAAAATACACCCAAGATTTACCCGGAGAACATCTTGACGATGTCACTGGATTTTCACATCGGTATTGTTTGCTTAACCTTGCTTAGTTTCTAGTGGGTCGATATCCTCGGTTTCCCATGGTGGAAAAAGAAGATACCTTTTGGGGATGTTAAAAGCAAATCGCCATCTGCATAACTGGTTTGGATGTTGGCTTTTCATACTCTGGATTGTGGGAAGCAGCTTGGCCTTTCCTCCTTCTCCCCAGTATGTCCCTTTCTCCTCCTTCGTGTGGCTTCTTCCCCTCTTCCCTGTTTACGCCAGGATCATTCTTGGCTTCTGGTCCCTGTCCATCCTGTGGCTATGCTTTCATCTCTCTGGCCTGTCAAACTTCTGTTGATCCGTGAAGCTCAACTTTCTCTTTCCTGAGAACTGCCACCAGTATTGATCTTTCTGGGCTCACATTTCGCGTGACTTCACACTGAATTTCACATTACCTTACCATTTCCTTTATTTTCCCTTCTTCCCTCCCCACAACCGGTTATATACTTCTGAAAGATCGGGTCCTTCTGGAACACATTGTAGATCTATGTAGATCTAGTATAGCCTAGTGTTTGGCTGTTTTTCAGGAGCCTCATTCTCAGAGTTCTGAAAGCCAAAATGATATTCTGAAATCGAAGTTTTAACAGCGGTCAGCCACTGGTAGAAGATGAGATGATCAGTTCAAATCATAGGACATTCTAATTCAGGGCTGCATGCACATGTGTCTACGGGTATCACTTAATAAAAAAAAACACCATGAGCACAGCATAATGTAGAGTGTTGTGGAATCGCTGTGTAGTCACCCGAAACTAATACAACATTGTACTTCAACTGCACCTCAGTGAAGAACGCCAGTGTTTGTCAGATACTTCTCTTAGGTTAATGCACAGCGGCAGCCCTCATCCCCTGTGTGTAATGGAAAACCTGCTTATTTTATAGTTGACACCACTTTGGAAGTTCCTTGAATGAGGAAGAAAAAGGGAAGCAGCAGCGTGGGGAAGGGGTTGTACCAACATGGCCAAATATGTTGTAGCATAAAAGGGGCTCCTTTTCTTCCTTACAAGAAAATTATTCCAGTGTTTTATCCAGTATTCAGCTAGGACTGGGATATACATTGTGGTGGATTTTTAAAGTATGGAGCTTCAAGGTGCCTGGGTGGCTCAGTCGGGTAATCTGCCTTCAGCTCAGGTCCTGGGATGGAGCCCCACGTTGGGCTCCCTGCTCAGTGGGGAGTCTGCTTCTCCGCTCTCCCTCTGTGCACCCTTGCTCCTGCTCTCTCCCTCCCTCTCTCTCTCAAATAAATAAAATCTTTAAACATAAATACATAAAAGTGTGGAGTTTCTTACACTTTATCCTATTATGTCTTATTTTAAAATGGTTACGTATTTTCTATGCCATTATTAGCTCTGTACTAGTAGTCAGGCTTGGCTAGCCTATGGAGCAGTAACAAATCTCGCAGTCCTAAAAGCTTAACAAAATGTTTCTTGTTCTTTCCTGTCACAGGGGAGGGATTGGGTAGTTTCTTCAATGGTTTTTTTTATATAGGGACTTGAGGACCCAGTGATATTCCAGAAAAATGTTTTCATATTCCACTCCCATTAAGGAATTGTATAATCAGGTTCTTGATGAATAAAAGAACTAACAGCATGAATTCTCTTATTTATGCATGCGCATCAGCTATTCTTCCTGTTCTCCCCACCCCCATCCCCTGAGGAGTTTTTCATTGTGGTATTGTTCACTGTTAAGTAATAATTGCAACAGAGACAGCCTGGAACAATAGGGCCTTCTGGAACACAGAACATGGGCATGTAATCCTAAAGCAGAATTTGTTTTCTGAGAAATCTGAGTCTTGCAGTAACTGGCTTTCTATTCATCTCAACCCTAGAATAGTGCCCGACACAAACCAGTGACACAGTCAATATGTGTTGAATGAATGAACTCAAAACTCTGCTTTGCTTTGCCTTTATCTTGTAAAGCTAATCTCTAAAAATTATTTTACCAGTCTAAAAATGTTTCCTATCTTTTTCTGCCCCAGCCTATATTTGCAGCGAATGCTTGGAAACAAAGATGTGGACTTCATCTATTTTAACTTGACATTAAAAATTGGACTTAAGGCACGTTTTCCAAATTCAGGAATTTACCCTCTTTTTATGAACTGACATGCTAGGTCTTTCATAATATAGACGCTTAATGAAACCATCGAATATGTAAACTGAAAAAACTTTAAAAAGAGAAGTAGATTAAAGTGACTGAAGATAGTTACTGAATTAAAATCCATTCAGTGGCATTTTCAAATGTCACCCGAAGCACTCTGTATAGAGTCATTTAAACTGCTTTAAGTATCACGGCTTTGAGGATAGTGCAGTCTAGGGACAATAAAGATAAGGTATAAATTATGAACAAAGGAGAAAAGAATTATACTTGTTCATGGTGTAAGTAGAACATTTCTGAGCAACTTTTCACTTGGATGGCCCTTATCAAGTGGTTGTTTTTCTAGAGTAGAGAGTGGAGCTTGCAAAACTGTAAATCAGGCAATTTACATTCATATTTTGATGATCTACAAATCACTTATTCATTTGCTAGAGTAAAGCAGATTCATAAAATCAATATGTTTGTTATTCATTTATGCCTCCTTTTTTTTTTTTTTTTTGCCATTTGGAAGAGTCCGTAAAGCAAACTCTTAACATTTCATTGAGCTAAAAAATGAGAGCATATTTCTAGGAACTGTCTTCAGTTTTCTTTACCTTGTGTTTATGTCTTGTATGAGGGATGCTCAAAACTAAGTCTTGCCCACTAGTGTGAGATTGGTGGGTGGTTATATTAACGTCAGTGATGGGGACTTTATGCAAACATTTGTGAAAAAACTGGCAGGCTGTAAACCCATCAGGGATGAGCTTAGTTGTTATATTTGCAAATTAAGGACTGAAGTTTCTTATGTATTTTAAGAAAACAAAACACTATCTTACTGCTTTGAAGGTCACAAAAATGGAATTGAGTTCATATAACCAATTTCCATATAAAAATTATAGAGTTTCCAGGATGAATTTCAGATCGAGGTATTAATTTGCATCAGTATCCATTCAGATTGTTAGGAGCGCCAAATATTTACCATTTAAATGTGCTACCATCTTGGTCTTCTTGCTATTTTATGTTTCTGAAGCTGAAGAACATGCGCTGAGGTTTAATATTAACTATGCTGCTCTGATGCTGCTCTAAGATTAACTATGGAAATATGCTGGAGGAATTCGATTGTCACGTACATTTTACTATACCTGAAGTATGTGTGTTCTTGGGCAATGAATCAATGGCAACTATGTTGCTATGTGATGCACGTGAATATTTTTGCTTTAATGAAGAGTTCCTGTCAGATTGTTCCTCAAAGTGAAACTCTTCTTTAGAGAACTTCAGAGTTCATATGGAACAGACTCTCAGCGTAATGGTGATTGTCACCAGTCAGCACACTCCTAAGGTCCTGAAGAAATGAAAACAGGAATGAGTTTTAAAGTCAGCTCCTGGCTTACCTAAAGATTTGGGAAAAACTTGGGTCTGTGTCACATTCAGCCAAAATCAAAGTCAAAATTTAGCCTCCCCTCCACTTAGCCCTTTGGTAGCTGTTCTCTGTATTACAGACATAATATCTGGAGATTGGGGAGAAGAATGAATGTTGCATTTAAAACTTGAAGTATTTTTGGGGAAAACTAAGGGAGCTGGATATTGAAAATATTTTAATTTTCTATTTTTAATATGACTTTGTAATTTATTTTGGTTATAATTAACCTCACAAAAAGTCTTATGTGGGGGACAGCTCCTTGAAAGCTCAAAATGCCCAGAATAAGTAGAAAAGGGAGTAAGTGTCTTCAGGATGTCTGACCTTCTGAGGGCTGCGTGGTGTAGAAAAGCCTACAACCTCACCCCCAGTAAATTCCTCTGATTGTCTTTAACATGGTGCAGTTGTTCAAAGGGCTTGTGGTTTCAATGGCTTTCGTTCTTTTTTTTTTTTTAATAACAGACTACGTTGTCACTACCTGATTTGAATAAACCGAACCAGAAATATCCTGACAGTGCACTAAACAAGACCTGTGTGTATAATGTGAGTTCTTTCTTTTTAATTTTAGAATCAACCTTGTCCTATGTTAGGCAGCTGGAGGCGAGAGTAAGACAGCTGGAGGAAGAAAATCGCATGCTGCCCCAGGTGGGTGACTTCCAGAAGCTCATAGCTAGTCAGTGCCATTGGAGTTGTAGCTTTTTAATCTGGAATTTAAAGTCTCAATTCCGTTTCTCCTTTAAATGATAGAAATCATTTTGTAAATAGTCATTCATCAACGTAGAGTGTGATTGCTTTCCATAATGACTATCGTATTATCTGGGTTCTTAAGTGTGACACCACAGGATGCAGACGTCTGAAATAAGAATGCAACGTAATTTTGAAAGGAAGAAGACAAGAGAAAGAGAAAATGAAGAGAAGGAGAAAATACTTTGCTAGTACTACTCCTATACATCATGCATGTAGTTGGCGAATATAGGGAAGGGACTCTAAATAAAAATTTTGCTAATTTATGAGCTCGGGGAAGCTGTAGGTAGTTTGAAGATTTCATATGTTAAAGAAATTAGTACTTTTGCTAAAATTCTTTGTGATCGAATTGAACTCTTTCAGTGCAACAAAGCCATGATAGTAACTGACAGCTTTACTGTGGGGCTTAACTTCTTTTCCCTGGTGAATCTAAAGTGGCACTTTTTCTGGGATTTAATGCCTCACCATATATTTTACTTATAATATTATTTCTATGGGCTGAACTATCTTGACGAGAATGATGTTGGCTGAGGTGGTGGTTCTCGGGGAATGTTTTGTTGAGGAGTTGAACAAATCTTCAAGGTTGGTTTCCTTTACAGACATGGAGGCAGTATTTTAATATTTTATGAGAGGAGTTTTCTAAGCATTTAGTCACTAGTGTTCTTTATACATTCTGGTAATTATTTCTGTTTCCTAAATGACTAAGGGAAAATCCACCCCTAAAAAACTAAGCAAACAGTAGTTTAAATGGAAAGACAGAGACTGGTTATAATCCAGGGGAAAACACATAAACATGAACACTTTGCAAAGATATTTTAGGTCTTTTAAACCTCATTTTGTTTTCAAACTACGTTTGCTCATTAATGATGATTTGGTCTGTCAGGTACTGCATCTAAGCATGCCTTTTTCTTTCATTGGCCAGCCATCTGGCTGAAAATCATGAGATTAAATGAAATGAATCTACTTCTTTCCCTTCTCAAACTATGCATATGTCAATACTCATGTTGACAGAAGGGATTATTTGCATAATAAAATAAGATACTGCTGGTAGAGTTTTCTCTTTGCTCTTCTATACTTTCCATTTTTAAAATTTTCTTTGCCATTTGTCCTTTTATATGGGATTCACAGTATGACTGTGCCAGGACCCTTGACTGAAAACATCTAACTTCTTTCCATTCCCAGAAACCTAAAAATATAATCAGGTTATTGTGAATATTCTATATGGTTATACCATCTCTGGGGCAACTCAGAATGTAAATGAAAAGAGAAAAAAGATCAGTTTCTTAGTTTCCCTCTGAGTGGGAATTGAGGCTCATGTCAAACATTGAAATGCTAGCATGGATGCTATGTTATTTAAAAAGAGGCACAACAAATATGAAAATGATTACAAGATTGATTTTTAAAAATGTGTAAAAGTGTTAGAAGTCTTGAAGAGAAATCAGAGGAGTCTTCATCTGTACTTGATACATCAAGTGTTGCATATTTAAACACACAGTACTCGCACAGTCGAGAAGTAGAAGAGATTAAACAACTTTTCAGGCTAAAGTCTTAAAACATATGTTTTTAAATGCATTGCTATTTTCTATCAAAGAAGGTTTTCTTTCTCCACAAGAAAAGCCTAGGAAGGATCATGTTTTACTGAATCATAAGATGTTATTGATGTGGGATGCACCATTATCATATGTAGCACTAAGAATGAAAAAAGATGTTGTCGATTATACCATGTCAGATTCTTGCTGATTTCAGAGATGTTAAAATGGAAAAACAATGCTTTAGAATCAAACAGCTTTTTACATGTCCAGGGTACTTTAGTGAAAAGAAAATCCATTGTTTGAAATATGCTGTTGGACATATATGCAAGGAATACAATAGATCTCAGTTCGAAAACAATATTGTGTTAAATTTCTGTATCGGAGAGTGTTGCCTTCATTTATAGTTAAGATAGATCTGATAGGACCACCAATTGCAAGTACTTGTATAAATACAACTGAAATGAACGGACAATAGATGAGATCTGAGGATAGAGAGCAATAAATGAATCTCAAAGCAGTGAGAATCCTGTAAAGGGAATACTCGTGGAAGGCTGAGATTTGGACCGGATAACCCAAAGGCGTATGCGACTTATTCTTGGATGTTATTGGTACTATTACCAATAATTACGTGCTTTCCCTGCAGAAACTATTTCTGACTGCATGATGTTAGCTGATTTGCAAGGTCAGTTCAATGTGATTAGCTGACATCTCTGCATAAGTTAGTCTCAATATCTGAACACTTGATTTTCCCGTTGTAGGAACTTGCTCACTGTGCTTTGATCAAAAGGTATTCTGTTTTACTGCCAAGTTTATAAAAATATATCCTCTTAACTGGATAAACAGGAAAGAAAAATATAGTTGGCAATTGGAATTCCAAGTATATTGGATATCTTTTGTGGCTATGGCCAGGTTCTTTGCTGATAGTTTAGCATTTAGACTAATTATGTAAAGCATTTTCCTGGAGGACGAAATCTCCTTTACGCTTATTTTTATACTTGGTAAAATTGTGTATAATGAACTGAGAGTCACAACTTTGTCCCAGCAATACATATTTAAAAAAGTAAACGAGATGAGTGTAGTAAGTGCTTGTGGATTTCTCTCTGGTTAGATTCAAAGGCTTCAATTTCTTAATTTAAAAATGACAAGGTTCCTCCTAGCCTCTTGTTGGCCTAAGTATAAATAAAGCTTGGGTACAGTTTTACATCCATGTGAAGTTACCAAGTCCCAGAATAAAAGGTTTTTTATTCAAAAACAGATAGAAAAAGGCAGTGAAGATTGAGTCAGTTCTATCCAGTGGTATAGGAGGTGTGGTTGGAATATCAGCATGGAGCTCTTTGCTCCGCCATGATTTCTACAATATCTCACAAGAATCACTGAGCAGTACTTTAAATCCAGTTTGTGACACAATATTTCAGAAGAATCTTAAAGTAATAACAGAAAATGCAGTATTATTTGCTACATTATTACTTGAAAAGAAAATGTCTTTATATATTTGATAGGAAGACAACATGAGATCTACCCTCTTACCAGATTTTCAAGTGCATAACAATTATTGTTATTTATAGGCATGGTGTACATTTGATCTCTAGAACTCAATTCATTTTGCATATCTGAAATTTTGTACATGGTGATTAGCAACACCCCATCTCCCCTTCCCCTCAGCCTCCCACAACCACCATTCTAGTCTTTGCTTCTATGAGTTTGAGTATTTTAGATACCTCATGTGAGTGGAATCATGTGGTATTTGTCCTTTTGTGACTGGCTTATTTCACTTGGCATATTACCAAGTGATCATTACCATATGATCCAGCAATCCTACTTCTGGATATTTACCCAAAAGAATTGAAATCAGGATCTCAAAGAAATATTAGCAATCCTGTGTTCATTGCAGCTCTGTTCACAGTAGCCAAGATGTGGACGCAACCTAAATGCCCATCAAGAGATGAATGGATAAAGAAAATGTGGCATATACATATAATGGAATATTATTCAGCCTTAAAAAAAGAAGGAAATCTTGCAATATGTGACAACATGGGCGAATCTTAAAAATGCTTTTTGGAAAGTTGATACAAATGATCATTAAAGATCCCCTTTAATGAATTTAGAATTTAGGATATTCTTCCTTAAACATAAACTAATGTGGACATTTTTTTTATACTGATTACATACAAAAATATTTCATAGGATTGCAACAAACCTCTCATATTACACAGAATGCTAAAAGTGCTCAGACTGGTCTGTCAGCTCCACTGTGTACATACTTAATATGATGGGAACCCTAAATGAAGATTGTATGTGAATTAAATAAATGTAGCCGCTGTATATGAAGTTTTATTAATTTTTAAATCTAATGAGGTGGAGTCACCCACAATGACATAAATAGACATTTTTGATAAAAGACCCAATATGGTATAAAGTAGTTGCAAGGAATTTTATATCAAATTTAAAAGGAATGTACCTATTTTGTGTATAGACATTTATACATAAACACAAACTTTCTGTGGGTAAAGAATCCTAGATTTTCAAAGCTGGATAGAACCTCACATATCACATGGACAACCTCATTTTCTAAGGCCTACAAGATTCACAGAATGTTAGGAGTATAGTCCTAGTCAGACAGCTAATGAAGGATGGACTCAGGCTAAGATGTAGGCCTATTCAGTGTTCTTGTAGCAAATGCATAGCACCTCTTTTAATCATTTCATACTATTTATGTCATTCAGTGTAAGTAAGCTGCTAAATCTGTTTTTATCTTATTGTCAAATTCTTTTTTTAAACATTTATTTTAATTAACATTGGATTTGCTTAGCCCTCTAAGATTTATCAGACATTCTATTCCCGATTGAGAGTAAATATTCTATTTTTCTTAAGGCCATAGATGGTATCCATCACAAATGAAATACATTTTATAGAGCCTCTCCTCCCTGACACATTTCCAAAATACTTCAGAATCCTGGTTTAGTACAAACATGCACACCCATATATATCTGCATGAGAAATTCATGCTGAACGGAATGTGGTCAGAGAGGGTCTTTCTGTTCAGAGTGAATTGGAGGTAGGTGGTGGCTAGGAGAACAAATAGTTAGAGTAGTGGTTTGTAAGGTATCCATGATAGTTGTTACGTTAGCCCAAATTTAAAAATCTTGCTGGGATCTCTCAACTCCTCCCATGATCCTTTTCTCGATGGTCACAAGGATTTTTAATCCAGACCTCTCCACGATGTTTAGGTGCTATATCTACAATGAAGTCTACTCAGCCAGAAAATATCTTAAATTAGATGATACAGAACACCTAGCTGATGATTTTGTTAAAATAATACTGTCTTTTTGAAGAAATCAGTCACTATTCCAACATCACCGTGAGGTAAAA